CTTCTTTTTGCTGGCAGCAGCATCGTCGTCGCTGTCGCTGTCACTGTCACTAGAGCTTTCACTCTCACTGCTGCTTGATATTTCCACAACAGCAGTCCGGTTCTTCTTCTTTTTCTTCTTATTTGCTTGGTTCTGGTTCTTCGCGCCCTTTCCTTTCTGTGCCAGAGGCTTTGGCTTCTCGAAGATGAACAGCGTGCCATTGACTGCATACAAGACGAGCTCCGCTCGCTGTCTCATCTCAAGCTTCTTCAACGCATCGCCTTCCAGCTTATCCGTAGATCCAGTCGTATTCAGCTCATCTTGTTTGCCCTGGGACAAGTATTCCCTGAAAGCGCCAACTGCACTATTATAGTTCTCCTTCTCAGACGGGACATGTTCCTCAGACTCATCCACGGCGCTTTCATCCTTGTCATCGGATGAAGCCTCCTCAATCTCTGCCTTCACGGCCTCCTCAGCAATCTCACGTAACCGCTGCTTAGCACCTTCACTCTTCAAGCCCTGAAGATACACAAGAAGAGCAGCATTATATTGAGTCGGCACCTGCTCCAACGAAAGAACATGTTTAAAGAGATGTGTTTCGCGGTTCTTCTGAAACTTCCACGCCGACCGATGTTTGTAGTAAAGACTCAGGTAGGAGAGAATAGGTGTCTCATGAATCTTCGGGGACGCATCACTCGCTGAATCTCCAGCGGCCGACTGATCCCTCTTCTTCTTTTTCTCCTTCTTCTTCTTCTGCTTCTTCCCTCCATCCTCGGCGTCGGCGTCGGCATCGGCATCCATATCGACATCGCTTTGGGCATCACGACTCGGCACCTCCTTCTCCTCTACCTCAGTCGAGAAAGACACCTTCTTCTTCTTTTTCTTGCGGGACTCGTCGTCTTTTTCCTCAACTGCAGGTTGTTCTTTTTCATCCCGCTCATCGTTATCATCATCAAGTCGTCGTTTTTTGTTCTTGCGCGACTTCTTATCCTCTGGCTCGGGTTCGGCTTCGGCTTCAGCATTACTCCTCTTCTTCTTTGAATCTTTCTTCTTTTCCTTTTTGTCCTTCTTCTCCTTCTTCTCCTTCTTTTCCTTCTTTTCACCCTTATCTGTATTTTCCTTCTCCTCTTCTTCGGAGTCCTTGGCGTACTTAAGCTTCAAGCCTAACTTTTTCCACGCCGGGACGTGCGACGGCTGGGAAGATTCTTCGCCGGACATTGCGACAAATTGCGGTCTCCTTTCGAAACCTCCACGAAAAAAAGGTCGGTCGCGTATATGAAAAGACTCTGGGAAAGCGATGGAGAAAAAGACGCAGTTAGCGCCTAAGTGGTGGGTGTGGGTTGTGCGAATTGAACTTTTGAATTGTACTGTAGAAAGTTTTGGGAAATTTTCCACGTGAGTTGCGGAAGTTTAGCAACACCGCGGAATTAGGTTAATTTATTTTTTAGGTCCGCTCCATTTGAGTATATGATTGGGATTTACGTGTGTATTTCTTCCAGCTTAAACCTCTCTCATATTCACAAAACATCTTTTAGTATGTAGGTAGATGTATCAATGACCGTAAAATCATCGCTTGCATTATCTATTCATGCCATTAAACTTTGTCCTTCCGATTCCTTTACTCCAGTTTCACAGTCCCAACCCTAGCCTCATCAAAGATGCGAACCCACGATGCATTTAAATGGCAAGTATATTATGGTGCTCATACACCAGAGCCACTGGCGCTTTCCACCCCGTTTGGATCTCTTCTCTCTTTCTTCATTTCCTTTTGTGCAGTACCTTCTGCTGCCTTGCGGCGGAGTCGTTCCCTGTCTCGGGAACTCGTCGCTGTCCTCCGCCTTCGCACCGGTTCGTAGAAGTCGTTGAAGTTCATTACTACAGCGAGGAACCGCATGTCTACATCTGGTTGGTATGCTAGGTCGCCCAGGAGTGTATTCAACCGCGACCGAAACTCGGCAGACAGATCTCGGAGCCGGACACGTAGGGACGAAAGCATGTGGTCGTCTGCAGAGAGGTCCTGGCCTATGAGGGACGATGGTGTACCTATATCATCGGCAGAGTTTCCAACGTTCGGCGTGGACACCGATGACACCGAGTTTTGGTGTCCACGAGTGCGCCGGGATGAGAGAAGGTCGCGTTCTGTAACGCCCCATCGGCCTTGTGCGGTTCGCGTTTCGATTTTAGCACTGAGTTCTTGCCTTCGGGTGAACTCGGCAACAGAGAAAGAGTAGAGCCCATCGACGGCATCTTTATATGCGAGCATGATCTTCAATATCTGGTGTAATTGAGTCAAGAAGCTCTCTTCTTGATGCTTGTTTGAGGACGAGCTCTTAGACGAAGATGAGGAGCCTAGTAGACCCTTGTGTGTAATCGAATCGAGATATTTGGTGTGTGCTTCAATCAGATCATCCAGCGTACATCCTGGCTTGGAGATAGATGCTTGCAACTGATCCCAACTGGCCTCAATGACTTCGAACAGGATGTAATATTGTAATTGGCAAACAAAATGTATCATTTCAGCAATGACGCATCTTGCTCCCTTCCAATCAGGCCCTACCTTATCGTCGACACTTCTCAGTACTCCTCTGGCACCGGTCATACATCGTCGCCAGGTGCTGCCCAGGGCAAACTCGACCCGTTTCACGCGCCATAGGAAATTGAAGACTTTCAAATATTGAGTAGAACCCCAGGGTGTAATGACTACATCAACTGGCGCATCTATCTTATACTCGAGCGTGAAACAGTCCCAGCCAATCTCACCGTGACTGAGTTCGAGCATCCGGGCATCTAGTCGGCGAAGGACATCTGACGAGTCATATTGAGCATTCGAAGCACGAATAGCATGCTCCAACTGAGCCGTGAGCGTATGTCTGTACTGGGAATTAGCGGGACGGTCGAGGTTTGAAGCCAGTGATTCCATCAAGAGGGCGATGAAATCACCCTGTCCCAGTAACAGGTACTTCTTCAGCGCCCGCAGATGATCGAAGAGCTTGAACTTTTCATCCATGAGGTAAATCAGCCGCGCCATTGTGGATTTATATGCCTCATCGATGGATGTTTCTAGACTTGCTGTGTCGCCGTACCGCAACTCTTTCGAAGTCTCCTTTGAATAGGCTTCTACCCATCCCGAGTCCCCACAGCCGTACCTGATGAAATTCAAGGATTTTCCTATCAAAAATACTTTTTTGGCAAAATCCTGCGTAATGATGGATGGCACCAAATCATCGTCAAGCTTATACTTGTCTTCCCAAACGCTTGTCGCGATGCGCCGGGGATCAGTGCTTGGACTAGCCTCTGGCTCTACTACAAAGAACTCTTGATATGGATCTGAAAGCTCGCCATCATAGATCCATAAGCGCAGCATATCATAGAACGGACGCGTAACATGTGTAAGCAGTTTCTCAGCTAGTGCGCAGACGAAAGGATCACCGTGAGAAGTCGAGAAGCCATGTATCATTGATATAAGTTGGCCGCCCTTCTTGTCTAAAATGTCGTTAGTAATTGAATTGCTAACGCAAATCAGATCACTTACTCTGAGCTTCTTCGACGATCACACTCATTAATCTCAATGCCATTGTCGCATCTCTTGTCCAAACTACGCATCTTTTCAGCGTAACCCCGGTTTTGGCGACGCTGGCGGGAGAAGTAGAAGCTTCAGGAGCGGCCAGCGCCCTTCGAATCTCCCCTTCCAGTGTCGCAACTAACCCAAGATACGAACGGAGCTCATTTGAGAGAGCTGCTCGCAAACTCTGGTTCACCAACCCCCCACTGGAACTTTCAACAAAAGCCGACAACTTTCGATATAGTAGGCCCGGCTCGGCCAATGTGTTCAGAAGGGATATCAAGGGGATGGGCAGAGTCGGCGGGAGTTTGACGGTAGAGGAGGACGTAAATTCGAGGTTTGATGACGATAAGCCCTGAAGGATGAAAGGAAGGTCGCGCAAAAGCCCATTTTCGACAGGTCGAGCTAGTTTCTGTTGATTGTCTGGAGCCGGCTGGGGCGGAACGGTTCTCTGTTCCTCCGTCTGGATGTCTCTTGCTGCAGCATCTGACATTGCGCGATGCCTCTGGTGCTCTCGAGCAACCTCAGGATCTTCATCTTCTCCCATGTCCCGTATCTCCCGTTCAGGTCGTCGCTGAGAAGCTTTCCGTTCGAGGCGCGCAGGTAGCTGTGATGCTGATGAACTGATCGCGGGGCCTTCCTCGTCTGACATTGGCCCCATCCCCTGTCGCGCTCGCTGTCCCTTCCACAACAAGTTCTGCAAATTACCTGGTTCGACAGCTGGACTCCGACTACCTCCTTCCTCCTCGAAGCTTTCATCGTAGTCGTCCGAACTCGACAGCCGATAAAGAAGGTACAAGATGGCCCACTTTTGTGATAGGACAGGTTGGGTTAGAAGGCGCGAGTATAAATTGGAGAATCGCATCGCTTTATCTGGGCTCGCATTCTCACGTAGCAGTTTCCGCTTGATCAAATCCGACGCGTTGTTGATATTCTCCCCCCCTGCTAAGCTTCCTCTACGAGTGATCCCCAGGCCTGCTCCATTTGGCGATGTTGGATCATTGCTCGAATTGGAATAGGCATCGAGTATTCTCCATGAGTGTTCGAGGTTCTCCTGTTGTCGCACTGCGAGGGCCTCGTATTCTTCGTCGGGGAGCTCATCTTCCGTGGCAGCGTAAGAGAATCGGTGAGTGAGATTGTCAACGAGCTGCGAGAGGGCGTCCTCAATGCGACGCGGGCGCGTAGAGTGACGAGCTGACATAATTAGCAACCCAGCTTTCCAAATGCTTTCCCAAGCTAGATTTATTCACGACCCCTCGTGACGTCGATGATCACCAGTGGATGTACAGCAATGTGGGATGCCGAGCAAGCAAACACAGTTAAATTCAACGCGGGGGAGTAAAACAGCGCATAGCTCCTGCCCCGAATCGCATATAATCGGCCAATGTTCAAAAGCTATCGCAATGAGCGTGCGGCGGTGGTTGCTGTTGTTGTTGTTGGTTTGCCTAGTTTGAGCTGTTTGAACCCTCCCGTGACCGCCAAGCTCTCTTTAGTTTATCCAGACTACTAACAGTAGTGGTAGCATGTAATCTGGAGGGAAGACATCCCAGCCACTACTCTACGAATCTACGTATGACACATCATTTAAGATTGAACTGATTCAATCTCAGCATGCTTGAATTGTCAAACCTAGGACCATCTGACATGCGAGTCGCTGTAGCAACACTGAACGGGAAAAGCAAACAGCCCCCAGAACGCCACCCGATTAACGCTGTATCTCGAGGAAGGAAAGAAGAAGTGGAAAAGACACATCATTCCGTGTCTTTTGAATATCAGACAGCCGAATTGAAGCCCCAAGACTAAGGGAGGCAAAAAAGACCCAGAAGACAGAAGTAAGCAATACACAAACCCCAGCCCCTTAACTCATGGACTAAGGTTTCAAGATGTAGTGTAGAAAAAGACAGGGGAGAAGTGGAAAAGAATAAAGGAGAAAGACGAAGAAAAATAGAGTAACACAGCCAAAAGAAGCTTTTGCGCCAAGTTTGCACCCTCCAGAGATTCGATAAAATCCCGTATCGCACCATCAGATTCAGCCCGTCCAATTTTTGAATTCGTATACATCATTAACACCTACCCATGCCCAGAGGCCCACGTTTTAAAAAACGGAAGCCGAATGTAACTGAAACGTAACAAGAACCCATGGAGATGGTCTGGGCTCTAGACAGAAATGGCCCTGCATCCAAGGGTGCAAAGCAAAGTAACGTTGTAAGTCGTAGCAACGCGAATAGACCAAGATCGGAGGATATTAAGATCGCAGTCTAGAAATTATTTATTCATTGTCTTCGGAGTCCCTGTGCAGGGATAGGTGCACCTGGTTGCATTCCCATGTTGCTAGGGATGTTATACGGATGAGGGTCGAATCCTGCCGACATGCCGTTCATCATCAAGGGCCCAAGTCCTTGGGCCTGAGAAACTGGGCAGTCCTTGTGTGCTAGTAAGAGCGTTTTGAGATTGACAATCTCTTCACGCAGTTGAGTGACGGTAGCAGTAAGCGCATCATTTTCTGAAGTAAAAAGTTCAACTTTTGCTTGCAAATTCGCAAGCCACTGTTTCTTTCGCTGGCGACATTTGAGTGCAGCGACCCTATCGATACCATGTCAGAAATGCACTCAGCGCCACAAATACTGTGAAACTTACCGATTCCTCTCGAGGAAATTCTTTCTCTTCTCTTCATCCGTCATCTTCTTGCTGTCATTCTGTGACTTCTTCTTCTGCTCTTCCTCTTCCTCTGAATCACCGGCATCAGAAGGAGGCTCAGTGCTACCAGAGCTAAGCTTGGCTTTCTTGTTCGACCCTTTAGCTGGAGCATCATCTGCTTTGCGCCGATTGTTCGCTGCCCCGCCAGTCTTAGAAGCCGTATTCTTTTTCTTTCCTTTCGTGACAGGCTTCGCCTGTTCACCTTGCACGTCAGACACGTCGTCACTTGTCTCTCTGCCGTTAGAAGCTCGTCGATCAGAATCGCGACCTTGATCGTTATTTTGGATGTTCTGTGGTGGTATTGAGGACTGGTTGGAAACAGCGAATTGATTGGGATTCGCCTGTCCGCCTTTGGCTAGCATGAATAGCCCATTTGCGGCATCTGCAGCATCATGATGGCCGAAGGGATCCGACTGGTTGGGTTTAATATCCATGGTCGTGCTCTGTGCTGCTTGCTCTGGATCAGATGTTGGGTTAGAGGTTGGGCCATTCAGAGCGTTTTTCTTGGCGGCGTTCAACGCAGTGCGATGAAACTCGATAGTTGAGGGAGTTGCACCCCCACTTTGCAATTGCTGCAGGAGCGCCTGGGAGTTCGGGCTCGGTGCCGGGAACATGGAGCCTCCACCACCAGGAGTCAATCCAGTGCGCAGAGAGGACTCGTTCGGGGTGGGGAAGCCTCTGCCAATGCTGTCGAAATAATCGCTTGAGCCTGTCGGACCGGCGAGCATGGCCGGGCTCAGGGGCCCAGAACGCAAGGAGTTAGACCAGCTATAACCGCCTCCGGCCGAGCTAGCACCGGGTAAGGCAGGAGACGTGAGCGAAGCGACTGGAGGAAGGATCGACTTCCCAGGTGTCTCGCCAGATGAGCCACCACTAGTGCCACCACCACCAAAGGATTGCTCAAAGGGGTTCGGTTCCAATGAAAAGGGATTGTGCACAGAATTAAAGTAATCTGGGGTATCCGCAGCTGATGTTATGGCCGGCCGCGGGGGAGGCGCCAGTGAGGTCTGGGGATCTACATCGGACTTTATGTTCTTGGTCTCTGAAGACGACGCCTGAGAGTCTGCAAAGCAATAACAGGTCCAGTCAGCAGGTGAGTAATACAACGTGACGCGACTTGAACGCGACAGCGAGGTGTATCTGAGATGGATCGGGCAGTGAAGCGTAACGGGCGACAATGAGATAACATTTCCGTCGCGTTACGGTGGTTAGGGTAATGGCAGTAAGCGATCTGATAACAGAGCCCCATCGATGACGCCAGGTGTGAGGTCATCCCGACGGCTGGAACACATAACAGAACATCTGGGGGAGTAGTGGCGTATCTACCAAGCCAGAATGGGCCAAGGCTTAATAGAAGATACAGATGTCGCAAAAACTCTCTTGCGACTGACAACTTCACGATATAAGGAAGCAAAATACCGATGACCCAAGAAAAATTCAAGCAAAAAAGAAAAGGTCATGTGCACGCACACACAAAGAAGCTCGAACTAGAAGGGAGATATACTAACCTTCGGTTTCCAAAGCGTTCTTTTTCGCGTCCATTGGGGATGTATTAATTGTATCAGCGCGATGTGTTAAGGTGCCTGTAACTGCTGATGCAACAGCTGCAGACATAATTTAGCTGGACGTGACGGTTATATTAGACAAGCGAAGGGGCCGCGCGAGTGATCAGAGAACCTAAGGCCGGGAAAAGAGAAGAAAAAAGGTAAAAAAAAGAATCAAGTGAAGACTGGTGGCAAAAATATGGAGTAATTCTTCAGAACAATACGCAAGGAGAAAAAGATAATATAGATCAGAAGGTAGGCAATGCTCTTGAAGACTGATTCAAGGCAATTTGTTGATGTCCGTCCGTTATTCTGCACAGAATCCCAGAGTAACTGTGAAGGGAAGGGAAATGAGAAGTTGTGACGTAGTCGGACTCAAAGGGAGTTTTTAGGGGGAGAAAAAAGAGGGGAGGCGGTCGAGTGTCGTGAGCTAAGCGTTTTTGGGCCTTGCCTAAAGAACTCGACTCCTGTCACGCTAAAGTGTAAAAAAGAAATTCGAAAAATAAAAAGAATTATGAAAAAATAAAAAAATTTGCAACCTTAGGGTGTGTACAAAAGGCCAACGGGTACCAGCTAAAGTGCAACCTCAAAACAGTAGAATAGGAAAGTCAGCTCTTCCTTCGCACCACAGTATTCTCTTGTCGTATTTCTCTTTTTCTTTCTTTTCTTTTTCCACTTTGTGTCTGTGGGCTGCTTGTTTCTTTTCTTCCTTTGTTCTATTATTTTTTTAAAAAAAAAAATGTTTCTCTCTCTTCTTTCGTTTTGCCTTCGTTGATTTCTAATCCAAAATTTCAAGAGCTAATTTTGATAGACGGAATGACAGGAGGGAAAGAAGGGAAACACTTGGATGGAAAAGAGCCAACCTTACAGGAGGGGAACAAAAATAATCACGGTCAAGCAGCGAATTATGCAGTCGAACACTGGGTGACCCTTACGGAGTATGTACAGGACCTGCAACAAGAACTTGGAGACAGGTGGGCACCCGGCAATACGTTTCGACCAATATGAATGACGCAAAGCCCGTGGACGCGATGGGGTGAGGGCGGAAACCACAGACCAACTCAAACCGGACACCCGTCAGTTGCGACAAGATTAGGAATGTTTCGATAATCCAGGGATAACTAAATTGTAGACGAGAAAATTGAAGAACCGACGCGACAAACAGGTCCAATTCAGAAGGGAGACAGAATGTAGGGGAGAAAAAAAAAGAGCAGAGATGAAGTCACGGTGACGACGACAGGAATTTTCTGGGATGTCGGACCAGCCGGGTGGCCGCTACAAGTGGGGAACGCCTTGGGTGGCCACTCGCCAGCGCTAGCGGCTCCACCCCTTCCAACCACTCATCGCCCTGATTACGAGCCCCACTTTAGTCGTGACTCCAGCATCCAACATGATTTTTGAATCGCCAAACTTCCAAGGCCGCAATGGGATCTGCCGTAGATTCGAAATAGCGAATCAGGATTTATGCCAGTTGGTTGTCTTTGCAGGGCGGTGAATTATTCCCGTCAAGTGAATGGTCAAATTCGCACGCGAGAGATGCAATAAAATCCTTCTAGCCACTGACGGGCCTTCATCAGGCGATAATGAACAAGGAATCGATGGTCTTCGAACCGTCGGGTCCATGCTTCGGTTTCTCAGGGGGGTTCTCGCCGTCCGGAGAATGGCACATGGAGTTGCTGATTGGGCCCTGCTGATGACGCAATGCATCTGGGACGTTCGTCCCGTGGGTTTCCATCACGTGATGCATGGTCGCTTGCTCTCGTTGGCGGGCCAGACAAAGACAAGTCGAATTTCTTGGATTGCCACTGAGGGGAGGATCTGGACAAAGCACCATCCATTGCCTCCACCCGCCCGTTCAGACTTGTCTAAGTTGGTTGGGGATGGATTAAGAGGGCGTCGACCTATTGTCGACTGGAATTTGTTTGCTTACAGTTCAACAAGTAACCTTCAAAAGTGTCGGGGGTACATGGTCGTACACTGTCTAGGCACGTATGTATGTCTCGTACAACTGGCAGTGGTTATGGATCTAAGGGTATCGCTGCATTTGCAGGCCAGTTGACGATGCACAATCCCTGACACGCTGACTGATAATGCGAATGCTAAATATTATGCATAATTGGCATCGAGTCATTCAGGTTTCCGGTTGGCAGAGAAAAAGAAAAGGGATTAGCTTTGTTTGAGATCTCGGGTGATTCAGGAATAATACGAGTTAGTTAGCCCTAGGTTTGCCGATTCGATCCTCACTGCTCGTGATCTGTGAATATCAACAAGTCCACGAATATCAGATTGACACATATGTGTACTATGCTACTACTACTTCATTCACTATCGTAGCTGCCTCAGGTGAACCAGGCAGCAGGATTTGCCCTTCGGTTCCGCCTCGTGTACCCAGCTGACAATGACAAGGCATACTCAGTAGTTCGTGGCTTCTTTATAAGATGGGGCCTGATTCTCACTTCCTCACTAGCTGATATTGCTCTCTCTTTATTCCAAGATAGTTAATCACATCCAGGACAACAGATCGGACCGAAATGGCAAAATTACAGAATATTCCAGAGATCATCCTTCTTTGCATGGAGGAGAAGTTTATCACGGCATTCAACGAAGCTCTCCCGATGCAATGGCCATCCTTCGCAGAAAACCCGAAGATCAAGATTAACGTGCTGAACATGGGACTCCATGCGGTCCCTACCACGACCAAGTTCCAATTAGTTGTCTCACCTGCCAACTCGTACGGCCGCCTAGATGGTGCCTTTGATGATGCGATCTCATGGAACTTCTGTCGTCCATATCATCCTTATGACATGCTCACACGCGCAGCGCAGCAAGTTCTCTACGAAAAATGGAGAGGCTTTGCGCCCCCAGGATCTTGCACGCTGGTCCCGTTCCCTAAAGATGTGGCAGGCACAAATGCGTGGGGCTGTAAATGGGTAGCGATTTGTCCGACCATGAGAGCTCCAGATATTGTTACGTGGGACCGAGAAGTAGTGTATGAGTGTGTGTGGAGTTTGTTATGTCAAGTGGAAGGCTGGAACCATGACCGATCCAAGGACAGGATTGATACTATACTGATAACACCACTGGCAACAGGAGTTGGACGTGTAAGTCCTGAGAGATGGGCATCACAGTTTATCCTAGCAATGAAGCATTTCGTGGATGCGTTGGAACGGCCGGAGAGGTGGAGTCGCATGGAATGGGGGGAAATTGAAAAGGATGTGATGGAGGTCGAAAAAACATGGAAAGAATAACTTTGGTGCATTGTTGTTTATCACAGTTCAGGGTCTCAGTTTACTTGAGACTGTCAATCTATGTGTTTACCTGCATACATCAATATACGTCATATAGCAGCCATTGCCTCCACCCTAATCAAATGGTGATAAGACCCCTCAGGCGCTTTATCGATAGCCTCACGATCCGCGATAAGTTGAGTAGTTCCAAGGCCCCAAGAGTACCGGCACATGATAGTGCCGCCATCCCTCCTCCCCTTCTCGGCCGCGTCCCTTCACCGTGAACTTCACCTCCACCTCAGGCCAGAAACTTTCGACTCCTTGCGCTTCATACCATGGTCCAACCTCGAATCGCACGGACCAGTGCGTCTTGCTGTCAGCTGCCGGGAGGGATGAAAGGATAGCAGGAACAGGGGCGGGGCAATTCGTCGCAGGCGTCCAGTTTTTGACACGACCATCAGCGTCGGTGGTTGCGGTGAAAGTGACGGGGCTTTGACTGCTTGAAGGGGCTGACAAGAGAGTCAGCGTCACCGGGAGGTTCGCCGCCGGAGTACCCGACAGAGTATTTAGGACGTGGCAAGTAATAGGGTCGCGAGACATTGTAGCTGATGTGCTTGTAGCAATGGAGTTGTTGACAGCGGTGGAGGATGCTGGTGGTGGAAGCAGCTGTTGTTGGTAAAGGCTGAGTCGGTCTTTGGTTCTGCCCAATTGGTCACTCGATCTCAAGTCCATCAAGGAAGAAATATGCGAGAAGAAAAGGAGAGCAATAATTGGAGAGTGGGAACTGTAAAGAAATGTCCGGTATTTTTTTTCTCCTCTATCCCCTTATATATAGACCTATGGGGTTTTTGTATCTCCGCTCTTCATGCATCGGAGACCACCGACAGTCTGTTGAACCCTTCCGGAGTATACCTTCAGTGGGGCAGCAAATTGTGATATTCCAAGTTCACATTGTCAAATTCCAGTACATAAGACCTTCTCACCGGAGCTCGAAACTCTTGGGTGTATTAATTTTATGATTGACATGAGAGGAATCTCTTGGAGTGTTTTCGAAAACGCATTGTCACGCTTTCATCGCATTGACTACACTTTCTTTGGCGGGGGACCATCATGGAAGCCTCAGGCAGGACGGTCTCCGCACGTGCCACCTTTGACCGACAGCAACAACGGGGAGTTGTTTCTTAATTTCCAACTGCCGCGGCCGCTTGTTCGAGAGAAGACTCCTTTTGGTTCGATCTTAGGTTCGGAGATTTCTCCTGGATTTTCGAAAGCGCGAACAGCTTAGTCCCAGCACGTACAGCTTTTCAGGCTTATCTTCCGGAAGCTTCGATCGTCGCAACCAAAAAGTTTTGGGTCTTGCGGGGAAACAATCTACGTGGTAAACTCGACTCCATAACTGTTCATTGTTCCACTGAGCAACAGCTTACCTTTGGTCATTTTCTAGTCCATTGAATCTCAGTTGTCTGTCTTATAGATTCTAGCCAATCCACACCGGCTTCAGGATGTCTACTGCCGTCGTACAAGCCGACGATCTCATGGAGCCTTCGCTCCAGTCGATTGTCAGCCAGGATACCCTCCGCTGGATCTTCGTTGGTGGTAAAGGAGGTGTCGGTAAAACAACTACCTCCTGTTCTCTTGCGATTCAACTGGCCAAAGCTCGCAAATCGGTTTTGCTCATCTCGACCGACCCCGCACACAACCTCAGTGACGCCTTTGGGCAAAAGTTTGGAAAGGAAGCCCGACTAATCGATGGGTACAACAACCTCAGCGCTATGGAGATTGACCCCAATGGCAGCATTCAGGACCTGCTGGCCAGCGGCGAAGGGCAGGGCGACGACCCTATGGCTGGATTGGGCGTTGGGAACATGATGCAGGATCTGGCTTTCAGCGTAGGTTTTTCAAGGACTGCCGAGTGCTCATGGTGTGCCGCGACTAATCAACATAGATTCCCGGTGTTGATGAAGCCATGTCCTTTGCGGAAGTCCTGAAGCAAGTCAAATCTTTGTCGTATGAGGTTATTGTTTTTGACACCGCCCCCACCGGCCACACCCTGCGTTTCCTTCAATTTCCCACCGTGCTTGAAAAGGCTCTTGCAAAGCTTTCGCAGTTATCGTCTCAATTCGGGCCCATGTTGAACTCCATCCTTGGCTCCCGCGGTGGTCTGCCGGGTGGTCAGAACATTGACGAGCTTTTACAGAAGATGGAGTCTCTCAGAGAGACCATCAGCGAAGTCAACACTCAATTCAGAACCCGGATATGACCACCTTTGTGTGTGTCTGTATCGCTGAATTCTTGTCTTTGTATGAGACCGAACGTATGATCCAGGAGCTGACAAGCTACAACATTGACACACACGCCATTGTCGTCAATCAGCTTTTGTTCCCCAAGCAGGGTAGTGAGTGTGAACAGTGCAATGCACGGAGGAAGATGCAGAAAAAGTACCTGGAACAGATTGAAGAACTCTATGAAGATTTCAATGTTGTCCGGATGCCGCTGTTGGTTGAAGAAGTCAGAGGAAAGGAGAAACTTGAAAAGTCAGTTTTTGTTGAAACTCACCAGACAGAAAATAACCTCAGTACTAACTATCTGCAGATTCAGCGACATGCTCATTCACCCATATGTCCCCCCACAGTAAAATTGCTCTGTGGCAATGTGCAATAGTTTCACCCGGATTGTCGCACCCGAAGAAGATGTGGAACGATATTCGACAAGGATTTCTCGGTACATGAGGATTCGCTATCTACTACGAAGCACTTTATTACGGAATAGCCGCATGTTTGTTATGAAGGTCGTCAGGTTGGGGATGGCACAGATAAATATGCAAGGTGAGGTTTTCAGCGAATTGTTATTATTGGGATGAGTTATGAGAAAGAATAGACAGTAATGCACGAAGCGTTTCATGCTTGTATGGCCATGTCGATCCTCAATATTATCTACACTTTGGACATCAATGCTTAAAGGAATTTGGTTATCATTTATTTTTCTACCTTTCTTTTCCTTCCGTTGCATTCGTGCCGTCCGGCCATCAACGATCAACCATCATCTTGTTCGCCTCACTTCCGCCTTCTTCAGGCTCGAAGAGCTTATCACAACTTACAAATGTGGGCCTTTGAAAAAGCTTTATTTAGGTTACCGCTCAAGCATCGTTCGCGGATGAGCAGATCGATAGGCCGAAGTCTCGATTGCGCCTATGCATGGCCTTCTCCACTTGCAGCCTGTCCCGCTCAGAAGCAACTGTGTGCTCTGGACTTTGGAGATGACCTCAAATGCCTCATTCTTATCCGGGTCAGGCCTATCCATTTCCGAAATGCGGCTTCTCTGAAAGATGACTGTTTATGAGCGCGTTGAGACTATCGAGTAAGGAATACACCGCAACGAGCCATGCCCATGTCAAGTGCACTATGCTTGTCACCCCTGGTTCCTTGGTACTTTAAGAGCAAAATCAGTGAAAGGACGCGAGCTTGTTGGACGACTGGGTACACTGGGCAAGAGGCTTACCCATTGCCCACCAGCCAAATGAAGGGCTGACATGCGTTTTCTAACAATAGCCCTTTCACAAATGTCAAACAGCTAGATGGGTCTGAATCTGTTATACTGCAGTATATCTATTGCATCCGGAGCACGAGAACAATAATCTCCGCCGCCTCACCCTGTGACATTTCGCTTGATGGCCCAGGCAGCTCAGAGCAAACGACGTTCAACCCGACAAGGCTGGCCCTGCTACGACAGTCCACGTCAATAGCATTATAGACGTTTGCTCGCATGTGGACCTTCCTGGTGAACAGGGGTTAGCGGGTCCCCGGCCAGATGTCGTAAATTCTTAAAGCAAACAATCCAGTCGAAGCCAAGGGAGTAAGTTAGCCCTTATCCAAGATAAGTATCAACATTTTCCACGTGGGTCTCGAAGATAGACTGAGAACTTGTAAGTCTTGCAAACATGTCGTACTCTATCTGAAGATCGAGAGAAATCTTGACCGCTACCTACCTACCTTAGGGTTACATGGTAGGAATGTCCCTTTCTCAATGGATCCACACCTTTTGCCCCGAGAGGCCTAGAATGAAGCTTTCTAGCCAGGGACTTCGGCAGGCATAATGTCCAGATCCGTTATTGGGATCCACGTCTTAATTTCGCACTTGGTTCATATGCAATCACGGAAATATATTTGCCTGAAAAAAATTCGAATGTCACGGAGACAGAATAATTTTCAAATGTAGTGGATTCCACGGAGTGTGCACGAAAGCTTTGGATACTGCTTGTGTTTCCTGCAGGTGTCATTCTATTGTCAGGGTCTTTTAGGCTTGCCATGCATGAATCCCTGGACCGTAATAATCTCGTCCTGGTCTAATGGATCTACAAAACTTGCAGACGGTCACAGACACGACCCTTGAACGTTCGATCAGTCCATGGAGCCACGGCATTATACTAGAAAACAGACCGACTTTGGTGGTGCATATTCCCTGCAGACTTGGCAAGGATTTCAGACGAACAGGAGCGAAAGCCTAGGCGTTATAACCCCGGAACTAGTGGCGTTACTGGAGGACTGCTCTATTTGCGGATGGCGATGAGTCAAGCCTCACTTTTCCCGGCGAAAAGGGTTGGATAAAAGAGTGAGGCGGTTTCCCGAAATCCGACATCAGCAGCATGCGAAGTGGCCTCTCAGCCATATTCCTTTCGTTCGAAAACCCACGATGGTTTTCTTAGCTGCGTAAGTGCGATCTAGCCTAGGGTTTCTCCCTTTGGCTAATCTTCCTCCCCTTAGTGATCGCTGCGACTGGCTAGTATATAATTTCTCGGCGTTTTCGTGGTTTAAGTGATATATACACAGTACAAAACGCTAGGCCTCTCATACACTTTCTACTTAGTATCCCTTGCATGCCGGACACTATGTTGGATGCTTATAACCCTAAGTACCTCGTAGAGACTCGCAGTCATCGTTATCACCCTCGCAGACTACTCAACCCCAACCCCATCAACCCTACTTACACATATACCAGTCTCCCAAAGACAAGAAACATATCGATGAGGATGTCTCAAGTTCAACAATACTGGCTACCAGGATACGGTCTATCACGACACATTGTCCTCGGACATATACAATACTTCCTAGGGCCGTCAGCATCAGTCAGACCATACACATACCAGGTATAATCACCACGACCACTCCAGCACAAGCTATGAGATAACGGGCCTAACAGCTGAGTCTGCCACCAAAAGGGACGCGAAGGCTATCTAATAGTCGGTGTACCTCTAACGAGGGTCTGTGTCCCTTCTCCGGGCTTTGATCGCGTGACCACATCACTGACATTTCGACCAGGAACAAATCGACGATCTTGCGGCCATGTCACGAGAGTATGAACGGCAAGAGACCCTTCGGATGGCGGGCGACGAAGCATCCACCAGCCATGCTGAGCCCTATATCAATGAGATCGTGCCCGTTCGAGCTTCGGGGCCGCGCAGACGTCCGTTCGACTACGAAACTCGACGTGGGCGGTAATCACCTAAAGAACAACAACAACCAATATAGATAAAAAGAAAGTCTCCGGTTATGTCATGTGAGAGATATCCTTGATTTGTTTTTGTTAAGCGTCTTGGTCTGCGCCTCCTCGCTTTTAATGAAATTTAGAATGATTGTTTGCATTTTTGATATTCACATCATACATCTGTCAGAATAGCCATGTCTCTCTGTGTCTCTAACGTTGAGATGAAACAGAGGAAGAGACAGGATGCTAATCTTCATCGTTCATACAGTCCGCTTTTCCTCTGTCCAACCTTTTTACGTCAATCAAAAGCATGCTCACATGTCTCTCCTGCTGCATTCAGCTCTGTAGCTTAGATCTAGATAATAATATCCCCCTCTTGTTAGGTGCGTTCGCCCTAACTACGTCGTCATATGTTCTAGTTGACTACTAGGAGTAGTTAGGGCTTCTGCTACCGAGTCCCTCGATATTGAAGCTCTAAGACGTATTCTTGACCACGGGGGGGGAATGTCAAGATAGAGAATTGTATAGATAAATGGATTAAGTAAAACCACCGGGTTATAATTCCACTCATCTCTATAGATCATTCGTAACAGCATAGACCAATCACAGGGAAAGCAGGTTTTGTATCATAGGAACAAATAGAAAAGGGGATCAGTCCGTTGCCCTCCCAATCCGCAAAAGAAGAAGAAATACTGTACTGCTCTTCCTTTCTTTCCCTCTTTCTTTTTGAGTGTCCCTTTTTTTTTTCTGTCGCTTCTCTCCTTCTCTCCTTTTCGCTTGTTTAAGCTCTCCCAGCAATGTAAGACTTAATCGATATTCTTTCAATCGAAATATTTTCTGAACAAAGGTTCACGACAGGAGGTGCCAACCAACTAGATCGGTGCAAGAGATTAAAAGACAATTGGAAAAGAAAGAGAACATGAAAAGTGGACCACCTGAACGCCAGCCTGATGCCACTCTGCTTGGTCCCATCACTCAAGAAGCCCGCAATCCGCGGGGGAATACTAAGCATAAACAGAACCAAAAAGAGAACGGTAAAAGACGAATTCTTGTTTTATAGCATAATGTGTGTTTATTTTGCGACGGCCGAGCTGGATTAATACCGAAGTTAGTTGCCTGGTCAAACTAGGTAGAGTTTTGATGCAGAAAGTTTCAACGAACCTCAAAACTTGTGTCCGGAAGAATGCGCCCTTGGTCTTCTCAATAACCTGCTGGTACACCGACTGAGGGGGGTGGTTCATAATCACTGTGCCCTCCTTATAGTCGATCTTGGCATCGACTCTGGTGTCGCGGATGAGGTTGACAATCCACTTCTCACCCTCATCCTGGTTCAGGCCGAGACGAGTGGAAAGATCCCTGTATCACGTTAGTTCCATTTCTATCCACCAAAATTGCAATATTCGGTTCTCAGTTACATACTTGATATCAATCCGTTGGTGGATCTTGCAGTAGCTCTCAGAGATAAGGTGACGGGCAGCCTCGACGAAAGCATCGGCCGCAGAGACAAGGAAGAAGTCGCTCCGCAACACATCCTCGGCCTCACCCAGCTTCTTCTGGGCTTCCTCGAAATCGAAGTCGATGTACAAGGCCTTAACAAAGTCGGTGATGGGGTCGGAGTATTCGTAGCCCTCCTGGCGGACAACCCGGATGAGGTCCTTCAGCTGCTTCTGATAGAGACTGCTGTTCTTGTGTGCACGGCCGCGGTTGGTGATAACAGCGGCAGCAAGGTACCGCAGGATCCAAGGGCAGTGGGTCTGAATGGTGTTGATATAGGCAGGGGAGAAGAAAAGGTCGGTCAGGACATCGCGGGCGGGATCATAGTTGAAGAAGGGGAAAAGAGACCAGTGGATCAACCAGGAGCGGTTCTGGAGCTGACCCAATGGGTTGTTGAATAGGCGGGTTTCGATCGACTCCTTAACCTTCTGGACCTCCTCCATGGCAGCCTCCCAGCTGGTGGTCAAAATCTCCGAGGCAAGCTTACCCCATGTGGCCGAGGCAACCTTGTCGTTGTCGGTGGAAAGAACACGGAATTGGTACAGCAGCTCGGCAGCGTTACCGTAGCTACCGCAGCTGTACTGGAAGCGGCCATAGTCGAAAAGGCTGTTGACCATCTCGGTGGTAACGCCGTGCTGTTCCTCGAGGAACTTCAAGTTGGCAACCTTGTCACTTCGCAGGTTACCGACGACATCCTCATCCTGAAGCAATTCGGTGATCTTGGCGCTCTCCTCCTGGTAGTGTTGCAACTTAGCGAGAACCTCCTCCCTCTTCTTGACAAACTCATCGGGAATGGTATCGGAGTTGTTGATTTCCTGCCACAGGTTGGCGACATAGTCGGTCATGTTGGTGTGTTTAAGCAGCTCATATTTCGCCCGCACGGTCTCCTTATCATCATCCTGGCCGGAGCTAAATTCGAGAAGAGGGAAAACAAGATGGCGGTCGAGGAAGGGGATCAACTTGGGTAGCAAATCATATTGGCTGGCGATCTCTTCAGCGGTCTTGGGGGGGTGAGCGGCGGCACCGCTGAGTAAAGTCTCTGCGGAAGGGGGAATGTTGGCTGCCATGGTGAACGACTGACGACGGCGGCAGCGTCTCGAGGGAAGATAAGGAGGAAGGGGAGAAGAGGGCGTGGACCGGGGAAGCAGCGAGACGGTGCGATCTCTGACTGAAGTCAGTGTGCGGCGGTCTTCTGGTCTTTTGCGCTGGCGAAAATGTGGGCGGGAGGGCTGGCGGTCGCGCTAGGCCCGGTTGGGGCTAGCGCGCAGTCTCCGCGCAAGAAATCGCTTTTCATGCAAAGATCGGAAGACACTCGTTCCTCTCTTACAGCTGCTGTTGCCGCGTCGTGCTATTCCCCTCAACCTTGGGTGATTCGGTGTTGGGTTGTCTGTCTCGGATTCAACGCCTTGGGAACGTCTCCTGTTGCTCTTCCCTTCCATAGATCTCTCCTGGACCGATGGCGTCCTTCCTGCAGGCCCGTCCCGTCTGCTCGGCCGTTCGCAAGCAGTCGACGGTTCTACCTACCTATCTTCAAAATGCTTCGCAGTCCATTGCTTCTACTTCAAGGACATGTAGCTCATTCTCTACACTATCTTCATCCTCTAGATTGATCAATTCTCGTAAGTAGTACAAGGCATCCGCCGATCCCATGCCTGGTCCGGTCGAGGACAAGCTATCCCATCATAAAAGGAAGAAAAGAGAGGCACCTGGGAGTGGACAAGGAGAACCTTCAGAGGAAAGCTAACTGATCCGCTTCAGAACATCCCCTCCGGTCCCTCCAACGCTTCAGTCCCCGCTCCGCAGCCCCTACACAGCAATGCCGGACCTTCCTGGTACAATTAAACCGCCAGTCCCAGACCCTGAAAGAGAACACCCCTTCGACCACTACACCCCTCCCATCATCGGCCAATTTGCAACTCACAAATCTTCCTTACTTCATTCGTCGTACTGCCTCGAACCAACTTCCAGTTTACCTGGTCACCAAGGCCGGTGGTACCAAGCAGCAGACTAAGATACAGAAGACCGAAGGTGACCTGGATGCTTTAAGGAACGACCTTGCACAGTATCTGGGTCTTGAATCCGGCGAGCCTCGCTCTCCCAAGAGTTCAGACATCACAATCAACCGTCTTAATGGACACATCATTGTCAAGGTACGCTTTTGCCATGTGTCCCCTAACAGGGGCATCGTATGATGCTAACATATGCACGCTGCAGGGCTGGCGAAAGCCTGAGATTCAGAAATTCCTTTTGGAGCGTAATTTTTAGAAGATTGAAGATCAAAAAAGTCCTGGATATGAGTAATTTGCATGTTCCTCTCCATTGTCCTCCACTATCCGCTCGATCAACGACTTCCCTATCCATCTTCCAGGCAAAAGTTTGAACCAGAAGGTTATATGTCGAATCCGCCACAGGGCACACGGACACTCAAGTCTGCCGAAATCAATCATGTACAAGTGGAAAGTAGACTGGAGAGAATACCGGCAGCAGACATCTGACCGAGAAGGTCTTTGCTCACCATCGGCGGAGGATGGTCCCATTAACTTTCTACTGCACCCCTTTCCTTTTTTTCCTCTTATCTAGCTTTATTTGCTTTGTATTATTCTCCGTGCTGGGTGTTCTGTCGCATTTTCAGTTTTGTTCGTGTCGTCGGAAGTTCGGCTTGTGTTCTGGCATGTTTTTGCCAATTTCTCACTTCCTGATCTCACCTCTCCATCTGCTTCGTGCCACTCTTCTGTATCTTTGTACATTTCAATGACTTCACGGTTGCTTTTGCGCTAAGTCTGTGGCTAATGTCGACGAGTGGCTGGGTTCTCGTGGGCAGAGTATAGCATGCGCAAACAGAATAATTAGGTCTAGGCAGGAAATATGAATATGTCTCGATAGACACTAGTGTGGCATCTTTATATAACACATTTGGAGAAACCTGCACTTGTAGCATCATGCCCAAATGAGGGCATTTACAAAGTTCACCATCCGTTGTCTGAACAATCTTTTTACACCAAAACAGACGATGAAGAGTCCGATCCGTACGCAGGACCCGAGGACCAAGTAGACCAAAACGAGAACAGGTAGGGGATAATGACCATGAAGTAAATTTACCCATTGAGACATCATGCATGATCTTTCGCCCGAGGGTATTGAGCATTGTACAGCGATAAGCAAAGATACACAAATCAAAAGGTCACGCCTCACGTATCTTCCCACCGGCGCCAGACAAAATCACAAGAATAAATGGTTTACTCAATAGAAGACATGACAGAAGTAAACATCAAGATGGCATATTGAAAGTGATGCTAGACATTCACCGACGCTATAAATAACCAAAAGAAAAACCAACCGCACACATCCTATCTAAGACCAGGTCATTCTGCCAGTCGCGCGTATGTTATCAGTTGCCGCACGACGCCGGGATCCACATTGTGCATGAGTAACGCCCCGAGTAAGCTCTCTTTCTTTGGGATTATCCCAGACGGGAACCGCAACGCCGAGTTTGAGTCGGCATGTTTAGACTTCTCGGCCAGTCTCCGGAGAATGCCCAACCCACGGTTAATGATGGAACTATACGCAGCAGCTTCCGCTTCAGCCTGTCCTCTTGCAGCATGTGATTGGCGGGGATTAGTGTTGGTTGGAGGAACACGTTCGGTACTCAGGAGGCAGGAAAGTCGGAGGAGATGAATGGCAAATCCGTCAACCGACTCAAGCCATGATTTTGCAAGGTTACCATCCGCAAACCCGGAAAGGATGTCGGCGGCTAACAAGCCCTGCATGAGGAAGACTTTACGAGCATCTGCTATGGCTAACGGTTTCCGAGGCTGGTCGGGAACCGGGCAGATAGCAAGGCCGAAGGAACGGGTAAGCAATTCGTGCTGAGGGATGCCACTTCCGTCTCCGGAGAAGATTGCCTTGAAAAACGTCCGATTGGGCTCATCGCGCGCCAAAAGCTTGGCTAAGCTGTCTACCGCTGCCGGGGTATACTTATGGACGGAGGCACTGTAGGCGGTGAACATGACGCCATCCGGTCCCTGACTCGGTCCAGGGAATGGGGCAAATGACAGGAGAAAATGTAGGAGAGAGAGAGCTTCTTCTTTGCTCGGCAGTTGAATGGTGTGGGCCAGGTTACTCAGATAAATGACTGTGTCCTTCATGAAATCGAGGGTATTCTGATTATTTCGTAAAAGCATGTTTCGAGTTCCCAAATAGCGGATGATAGTGGAGATGAATTGCACGACCGGTGGCGTTGAAAGTACCCCAAAGTTCGATTCGGTAAATGAAAAGTTGCGCAGTATCGTTGTGATACAGATGAGTCTATCAACGGCTCGGTCTAGATCATAATCGAGGCTTCCAAATTCGGGAATATCAGCCAAGGATGTCCACTCTGACTGACAACCCCGGGTAACCTCCTCGTACGTTGGAAGAAGCATGACATCCGACACCTCAGCAGCATGCTCAGCAAGGAATTCGGCTTGGTCTTCTGCACACTCAACCAAGCTGTCAACCAAATCCTCGCAGTTGTCCAGTGATATTTGAATTGCCGGTTCACAGGATATGGTTGCAAGTGTGTCTAAAGCCAAACGCATCTCCGCGTGAATCCCTGACTTGATACCCATTGTGAGAGCGTGTATATCAATTACGCCAAGTTCGGAGAATGCGGGAACGTTAGGCTTGAATCTCGCGATTTCTTCACTTAGTTGATAAATTTCATCCACCGCGACTGGGCCATGAAGGTTACTTTCTGGCAAGACCATAGGCTTGAAAGGGTCCTCGATCGGATGCTTCAGAGGCTGATCAGGATTCTGATCAAACTGCTCGGACACCTTGCCGGACACTGAACCTGGATCTTTGGCCGATGGTGCTGGCGACTGGCCGGATTGTTGCCCAGTAGAGTCGTGAGGTGTTGCCGGGGGTTGAGATTGGCGAGAGACGCTGAGTCTGTGCTGCTGCTGCTGCTGCTGTTGTTGTTGTTGTTGCTGCTGCTGCTGCTGCTGCTGCTGCTGCTGCTTATTTGGCACCTTCACTGGCGTAGGAGTAGCAAACCCATTAGGCACATTGCTAGGCATATTGTTTGGTACAGGTGCATTACTCGGAGACGGCTGTCCAAGTTGCTGCGAAGCCTCGAAATTTTGATTTGGTTTGACAGATGGCGACTGGAACTGCATACCTGAGGGATCACTAGGTTGTCGTGACAGCGAACTTTGCTGCATCTGATCCGCAAACTGTTTCTGCTGCGTGCTCAGGAAAGCTTGCTCGTAGGCAGCAAGGTTCCGCTGGTAGTGCTCTCGAATTTCCTGTACGGCCATCGGAAACTGCATTGGGGGATATTGAAGCTGCTGAGCTATTACCGGCCACATGTTCGTGGCGTTGATCTTCTTTGATCCACCCAGCTTCATAACGGTAGCATAAAGTTGCACTAAATTAATTGGGCGCCCACAGACAATGGGATTCGGATCCAGGGGTAGATTCCGTGACATCATGAATTTCTGTAACGACCTCATAAAACCTTCCGGATTGGGAGGTTTTGACATCGTCTGTTGCATCTGTCTGATGGCCGCCATTTGCTGAGGGTTGGCCATGGCATTCATACCAGCCGCCACGGGACGTCCAGCCAGAGCAGGGTTCATATTTATCGGACGGCCTTGATTTTGCATTTGAATGGCGTGTATTCGCTGTTGTTGTTGCTGTTGTTGGGCAGCCATTGCCTGGTATCCCTGTGGCATGCCACTGAAGTGCGCTTGCATCGGTGCTTGCACACCGGCGGAGGTCATAGCGGTTCCAGGCGAAAACTGCCCTCCCATACCCTGGGGGAATGGTTGACCAGGAATGAACGAGCTATTCTGCGGGGTGTTTACTCTGCTTGGATGATCCGGCTGCGACGGCGATACGTGGGGCCCAACATGAGGACCAGCGGGAGAGAATGGACTGGGCGATGCTGTTCCCATTCTTTGCACACCATGCTGGTCGAAGTCCTGGATAATCGGTGACTGACTAACATTTGGTGAGGTCCCTTGTTGAAGATGTTGGTACTGAGCAGGATGCGGGGCGAATTGTGTAGCGCCATTTGTCGGTCCTTGGTACCCTGGGAAAGGCACCTGATGAGGCGTCTGCGATCGCGAGGCAGCTAGTCCACCTGGTGCCTGCCGGGGTGACATTGACATGCCATCCTCGGGACGTGGTCGCTTGGACGGGATCACCTGGTTAGGATTGTGGAAACCGGGAGATGCATTTCGCGGCACGCCATTGAACATGCGCTGGAATTGGTTAGGATCGGGAGTGGGAGATGCATGGAGGAAGGCGGTGGAAGGATCTATAGTCGCCTGGTGAAAGGCACCATTATCATGGTTGGGGAGGTTCGAGGCGTCGGCTAGCCAGGCATTCATGTCGTGTGGTTTTACCAACCCATCTGCAAGGTGAAGGCTGTCAGATTTATGACACAGAGAGTGGAGTATGGTTTCAATCATCAATAAGCATCGACAATAAATGCGATATTAAAGCCATCATAGTTCCGGATAGAAAGATGATTAGCAGAAAATCGATCAATCATCGTTTGAGGGTTCTAGACGCGTCAAGCCGAAGTGTGCGGCGAGTCGCGCCTTGGTCTGCGACACGAACACACTACAGTCTGGACCGACATGGAAGTGAAGCAGAGGGCAAAAAGGGTAAGCTGGGGTAGGCAGCTGTTTCTTTTTAGACAAAGGAACAGCAATGATGTACATACCGACAAGGCTGGACAACTAAAATGCCGACTCACAAGCGGATGATGGAAAGCCGGTCCCGAAATGGTAGCGGTTGCAAGGCCTGAGAGAGGTTGCGAGGATCTGAGGTCACGGGACCATGGGCGCCGCAGGCAGAAAAAAGTACCTGGCGTAATAACGGACTGACGAGCTGGGGACAGAAACCATTAGCAAATAGCAGGAGGGGAGCTTCTAGACCAATACAAGAGTGTACAATAAAATAAAATAGAATAAGAATAAAAATAAAAATTATGGGTAAGCCATCAAACAATCAGAAGCTATCATTTGTAGCGTGCGTGATAGACCCGAGGAATGGAGAGACGGGTAAGCAGTGCGTGGCCACAGTTGGTGCAGCGTGTGATAGGCAAAAAGAAGGTAAACCCAATAACTGAAGACAAGCGGGGGGGAAGGAATGACATGACAGGCGTACCTGAATAATGGCTGCAATAGTCTGTAGGGCCGTGTTAAATGTTGTATTTTAATTTAGATTTTTTTTGGTTTAATTTTAATTCCCCTACTGTCTTGGGGAGGAAAGGGAGATCACTTGGAAGAAAGAAAAAGTGGAGGCACGGGGTAGAAAGGCAGGAATGGAGACGGGCGTGGAGAGAGGAACGGACGCCTCAAGAGTCAAAAGACACTAAGGATAAGAAACGGGATAAGACACAGAAAGGGAGGAGGGTACATACGAAAACTGGCGTATGACTTTCCAGTAAGTTATTTTACCAGTGGGCAGCAGAACACAAGAGAAGTCTCAGGCAGTCATCAGCAGTCGGTTAGCATTGGCGGTAAAAGGGGAAAGGAGAGGGAAAGCAGTAGGCGGAAAGTGGCGGCAAGACGAAAGAGGCTGGAGCTTAGGTAACACCCATGGTGGATCGGTGCAGGTGGGCATCCGACTATCCCCCTTTCGGACATATTGGTCAATCTCAGGTTTGTGCCATGAGCATTTTACTTCGTCCAACTGATTTAGAGCATTCATCCTGAAGAGCTTGGTCAGGTCTCTCACTTTCTCTCGTTCCCCCAAAGAGAACCTCTAGCGTTCTTTCATGCTGAGAACTTGTCGGTCGCTGGAAGACTCGGTAGTAGTGATTTGACTGGTCAAGATCAACCACTACCACATTGATAGTACGGCCTTGATGCGACTGCTGGTTTGTCCAAGAAAGTAACCATTCGAGCATGTCTGTAACCTGTCAAAACAAACAGTGACGGTAATCTGTTGAGTAGTTTTATAAATGTTAAAATATTTTGGTTTCTGCTGGCTTGGGGAGCCACCGAATCCTCAATTGTCTGGGTGGATGCGTATGTGGGTATCGAAATAGACAGTGTGTTGGGGTAAGGAAGCCTGCGTCGGGCAGGATCTTGGAGATGGGCTGTCCAGGAGAACCTGGGGACGAGGGAGCGTTAGATGGATGGAAGATGGGTAAAAGCAGAACAAAAGAAAAATATCATCATGACAAGGAAATAGACGACGAGGGCACCTGATTCCCTTTTAACAGTATTCCATCAGCTACTCCGTGCTAAGCCCACCCATTAAATCCGCCTGGTCTGAGTAGTCAATGTACGAATGGATATGTTACCGACGGCACTCATTATCTGCCAGCCCTTGCACGCATCCGTTTAAATATGTATTAATCATGTTTTAGGTCTCTTTCTCTGTCTCCCTCTTTTTCCGTTTTGGACGGGGCCGTTCATTGTCCCACCTGCCACATTTTTACGGTTCTCCACTAGTTACAATGGTATTTGCTTGGTAATAGATGATGGACGTGAATCGGGACCGTTGGTGTGTGGACTCCGGGCTCTTGCGACAGTAAACCAACACCATGGTTACGGGGGCACTACAACTAGTTCGATTACGATCTGGACACGATCTCTGTGGTTTAGAGAAAGGCCAATGTTCAGTCGATCCTTAGAATCCAAATAATTAGAGTGTTGAGAAGAGTAAAACACATTTCAAAATACTCCGACAGAGTCTCTTACTTGCCATATATATATTTCCTCAAACCACATGGACACCAGCCCATGCACACTCGAAAGCGGGCTAGCATTGGCATAACAGCACACCACGTTGGAACTATAATATAATCAATGTTGTCCGATCGGAGCGAACTGTTCTTACATGAGGCAACTATATATAATTATCTAAATTAGAACACGAGTGTTAATGACTGGCTGTGTCTTGTATAGCACCAATTCAAGGTAATCGTTAATGAGAAACTGGGGCTATTTCCACCCAAGAAAAAGAACAACGCAACACTGTTATTTGACATTCGATTTGATTCTCACAGATGCGTTGCCACATTCGGGCATGAGACAGTTGACCGTCGCTATACTAGTAGCGCTATTGGGGCCGAGCTCCCATCCACGTGACCGCAACCGTAAGCTACCGTCGAGCCAGTTTGGTTATGATCAAAGCAAAAGCTCCGATTCTCTCAACACCACCCAACCGTTAGATCTGCCGCTCTGATTTCTCAGCCACCCTTCATAGTCCCTACAATCGAATCCTCTACGTTACCGCTTCTCACCCGTGTCAAATATCCACCATGGGAGACGTCGCCGTGGAGAATCCGGCGAACAACGTCACGCTTCATACCAAGCCGGCACCATTGGACACCATCCCCAACATAGACTCCATCGAAGGCACAGGGACCGATGGAGGTGACGAATATGCTACTTTGAAGAAACTCCAGAGACATTTAGAGTATGTTGGAAACGGAAAACCTCCATGCTCTGTACTGACACTTAATAGATACATCCAGCTACAGGAGGAGTACATCAAGGATGAGCAAAGGCAAGCTAGTATTATCTCCTTCCACCACAGCGGCGGTATTATTAACATCCATCCTCAACAATAGGAGCTTGAAAAGAGAGCTCGTTCGTGCACAGGAGGAAATTAAACGGATACAAAGTGTTCCCTTGGTTATAGGCCAGTTCATGGAGGCGATCGACCAAAAGTACGGGCCTAACATGCACTTGATAGAGGGGTTTGCTAATGGAGGCTGTCCAGTACCGGGATCGTGCAATCGTCAACTGGTTCGAATTATGTCGTCCGGATTCTTTCCACGCTCGACCGCGAGAAGCTCAAACCATCGTCCTCGGTCGCTCTTCATCGCCACTCGAACGCCCTCGTTGATATCTTACCTCCAGAGGCCGATTCCTCCATCGCTATGCTAGGCGAAAATGAGAAACCGGACGTCACATATGCCGATGTTGGTGGACTTGACATGCAGAAGCAGGAAATCCGCGAGGCGGTGGAATTGCCATTGACGCACTTCGACCTGTACAGACAAATCGGTGGGTCGATAGGTTTAAATGAGTTGGCAATTGTGCAGTGTTGCTTACTATCGCAGGTATCGATCCTCCTCGTGGTGTCCTGCTCTACGGCCCTCCTGGAACAGGTAAGACTATGCTGGTCAAAGCAGTGGCGAATAGCACAACTGCCAGCTTCATTCGAGTGAACGGTTCCGAATTTGTTCAGAAGTATCTGGGTGAAGGTCCTCGCATGGTCCGTGATGTGTTCAGGATGGCCCGGGAGAATGCCCCCGCTATCATCTTCATCGATGAAATCGACGCCATTGCCACCAAGCGTTTTGACGCTCAAACTGGTGCTGATCGTGAGGTCCAACGTATTCTTCTGGAACTCCTCAACCAAATGGATGGCTTCGAGCAATCGAGCAATGTCAAGGTCATTATGGCTACCAACCGGGCCGATACTCTGGATCCGGCTCTGCTGCGTCCAGGTCGTCTGGACCGAAAGATTGAGTTTCCCTCTCTTCGTGATCGGCGAGAGCGTCGGTTGATTTTTACCACCATCGCGTCTAAGATGTCCTTGTCCCCCGAGGTCGACCTTGACTCGCTGATTGTGCGTAATGAACCTTTGTCCGGTGCCGTCATTGCTGCTATCATGCAGGAGGCTGGTCTACGAGCTGTGCGGAAGAATCGGTACAACATTATCCAATCGGACCTTGAGGATGCTTATGCTGCCCAAGTGAAGACTGGACAAGAAGCGGACAGGTATGTTATATTAATCCGTCACGGTGCTCCGTTTATTATTATATTTAACTAACAACCTATCTGCAGGCTTGAATTCTACCGGTAAATGGGTGTATTTATTGTTGGTAGTAATGAATGAGCTAGAAATACCGGGTAACGTGACGAAAGGGTAGTCATGAGTTGTAACGTGAAACTTCAGACTCTTATCACATATGTAAGAAAATGATTGATGTGTTTTAAGGTAGTACGTAGTACGTGTAAATGACTCGATCGAATGAGGGTATCTCTCGTACAGTACCTAGTCTCATTTTTCCACTGTTTCCGCTGCCTATCGGGGTCGGCAGTGCCGCTCCACTTGTGATTGTTCAGTTACTTGTACATACAGAGTAGTAGTACCTATCAGTCCTGCCAAGATTACAGTCAGATAGGCGGCGATCCTTAGGCACCTGCAGAGGTATAGATTGCGCATACCGTCATTTAGTTAAGGAACATAACTAACTTATCAGCCTAGCGCCCGAGGCGGTCTTACATCATCTCCCGGCGGCAATCGATCCACAATTTGGGTCAGTGATAAGAGAAACATTGGGGCGAGAGTTGGGTCGACCCTGAAAGATAGAGAGAGAGAGAGATAGCATTCTTGTTTTATAATGGAAGGTATA